GGCCATCCAGTTTTCCTGTCACATAGACACTATGTGTGCTTGGCATTTTGCACCTAGCCTTTGGGACTTTCATGATGGGGGTTGGTGAGTGTCCCTCAACACCAACCACTACTGGTTTCCTGAAGCTGACTTATTGGTGGTATTCTTCTTACACTGGCTACTCATATGTCCTTGCTCTCCACAGTTCCAACAACCTTTCTGGGTAGCAGCCTTTCCTGCTGTAGCATCTCCCCTGTGTTGAAGTTGACACCATTGAACTCTCTTGTGCCCAGGTTTGTTACAGTGCCATCAAAGTCCCTCAAACTTCTCTGAAAGCTGACCTTTTCTGGCCTTGAATCCAGATGACTGTACCAATCTTGGTACCTCTGTGCTGGACTTAACGTAGGATTCAAATTCGAGAGCTCTGGCCATTGCATCCTGCACGGTAGAGGGGTGTCCTTACTTCACTTGTATCTTAAGTTGTGGACTGTCCAAGGCATCTACGAACTGATCCCTCAGCAAAAACTTGAGGAGATCGGGTGGTGCAGTTGGGTCGGCCTTGTGTGCTATGCTTTCCAACTCCTGTGCCAGCTCTTGCAGGCTCTTCCCTTTAGCACGGACTCTCGTCCTAAACCTAGCCCTGTAGACTTCTGACTGATTTTGGGTTCCGTACCCGAGTTCTAGAGCCGCTACCAGTGCTCTATAGTTGTGTCTGTCGTCTGATGACACCTGTCCAAGTATTTCCAGTGGTTGTCCTTTCAAGATGAATGGATGGACAGAGGAGCAGAAAGCAGTATATCTGGCAACGAGACAGTTCCAACAGCCTTTCTGGGAAGCAGCCTTTCCTGCTGTATCATCTCCCCTGTGCTGAAGTTTCCAGCATTGAGCTCTCTTGTGCCCAGGTTTGTTACAGTGCCAGCATAGTCCCTCAAACCTCTCTGAAAGCTGACCTTTTCTGTCCTTGAATCCAGATGACTGTACCAACCTCAGTACCTTTGTGCTGGACTTAATGTAGGATTCAAATTCGAGAGCTCTGGCCATTGCATCCTGCATGGTAGAGGGGTATGCTTGCTTCACTTGTATATTAAGTTGTGGACTGTGAAAGGCATCTACAAACTGATCCCTCAGCAACAACTTTAGGAGATTGGGTGGCGCAGTTCGGTAAGCCTTGTGTGCCATACTTTCCAAGTCCTGTGCCAGCTCGTGCAGGCTCGTCCCTTTAGCACGGACTCTCGTCCTGAACATAGCACTGTATACTTCAGACTTATTTTGGGTTCCATACCTGAGTTCTAGAGCCACTACCAGTGTTCTATAGTTGTGTCTGTCGTCTACTGACAACTGTCCAAGTATTTCCAGTGGTTGTTTCTTTAAGCTCCTTGCCAAGTACACTGCTTTCTGCTCCTATGTCCATCCATTCATTTCTTCCAGGAGCTCAAATTGTGCGCTATATTCTTCCCATGGTGCCTTCCCATCACATTCCTGTGGCTTCCTTCGTACTAGATCACCCCTATTGCTAGCATTCATATCTTGGATGAGACTTCTAACACGACTGAAGATGTTTGCATTAGGATTTAGCTGTGGGGTCTGGAAGGGGCTTGCCATCGTCTGGGGCTGATTAAGTCGATGGTAAATGTATCCTCCTTGTGTAAAAGACAATAAATCATCCTTTAATGCATTTAATTTGCTTTGAAATTTACTAATGTTTTTCATTTGTGTACTCTGGCCTTCTCTCAACTGTTGGAGCCTTTTTCTTGTTTATTTTCTTTCTCCTACAACCACTGATGTAATCTCTCTTGTTTATTTTACTGTTCGAGCTGCCACTCATGCAAGTTATCTTGACATTGCTGTAATCTCTCTTCTTGTTTCTTTTCTTTTTCCTCCAACAACTGTTGTGATCTCTCTTCATGCTTCTTTCTTTTTCCTCCAACAACTACTGTAATCTTTCTTCTTGCTTCTTTTCTTCTTACTCCAACAACTGCTGTAATCACTCTTCTTGTTTATTTTCTCTTTTTTACTTGTTTCTTTTCTTTTTCCTCCAACAACTGCTGCAGTCTCTCTTCTTTTTCCTCCAACAACTGTTGTAATCTCTCTTCTTGTTTATTTTGCTGTTCGAGATGCCACTGTTGCAGGGTTTCTTGCAACTACTGTTTTCCCTCTTCTTGTTTCTTTTTTTGTTTATTTTCTCGTTCTTCTTGTTTCTTTTGTTGTTTTTGCATTGCTGCCATCAAATCTGCTAAGCTGTAGTTTGATTTGCCACTTCTCATTTCCTTTTTTTTTCATCCCACTTTTGACACAAATTCAGCCCCAGACAATGGCAAGCCCCTTCCAGACCCCGCAGCTAAACCCTAATGCAGACATCTTCAGCCCTGTTAGAAGTCACATCCCAGATATGAATGTCAGTAATAGGAGTGATCCAGTGCGAAGAAAGACACAGGAATTTAATGGGAAGGCACCGTGGGAAGCATATAGAGCACAATTTGAGCTACTGGCAGAGGAAAGCACGGACATTTGAGGAGCCAGTGTAGGAAGAACATTACCAACAAGTCAACCTCAAGGAGACCAGTAGTGGTTGGTGTTGAGGGACACTCACCAACCCCCATCGTGAAAGTACCAACAGCTAGGTGTAAAATACCAATCACACACAGTGTCTATGTGACAAGAAAGCTAGATGGCCAAAGATGCAACTTTGTCATAGACTCTGCATCTCAGCAAACCTTTGTGAGCATCAAGGTGTTAAATCACGAAGGAGTACCAGAAGCCATAGAGGACATTCTACAAGATTGTGGGGACCAGTGTGGGTAACTATTGAGCTCATGGGCATAAAGGACAGACAGAAAGTATACTTGGCTGACATAGAAGACGAATGCATATTAGGATTGGACTATCTACTACCAAGAAAGTTTCTAATTGATTTTGATAAAATGACGTTTGGGAATAAAAAAGGCCAAGTTCCGGTAACTGTTAAAAGAGAGGTTGAACTAATTATGTGCCATCAAGCTGAAGTCAAAGTGACTGAAGAAGTTGATGATGACGAAGTGGAACCAAATATAGATATCAAAGCAGAACAGGAGAAAAACAAAGATTTGAAGCCAATGATTGATTTTCTAAAAGCAAGTGTTTTGCGCCCTGCTTGGGAGAAGGTTTCTAGTCTAAGCCCTGTGACAAACAACTATTGGGCACAATGGGACCAGTTGGAGCTTGAAGATAGTATTCTTCTCTGGAGATGGGAAAGTGACGACCTGGCAAACGGTTATACCGAGAAAGTTACGGGAAGTTGTGCTGTGTCAATCCCATGATACTTTAACAGGAGGACATCTCGGAATTAAGAAGACATTGAGTCACCTACGACAAAGATTTTACTGGATAGGTATGAGACGAGATGTGGAAGAATGGTGCAGGACATGCAGTACATGTAATGATAAAAGGGGATCCTAGCATAAAGGACGCCCATCTTATGAAGAGTTGCCTGTGAATATGTCAGAGTTTGTGGAAGTGTTATGAGAAAGGATGGATGATATTCACCATCAAGTGTGTTCACACCTCAAAACGTCTGCTGATTCGATGAAGCTGTCTCATGATAAGAGATCTACTGAAGTCAGCTTTGAACCAGGAAACAAGGTGTGGTTGTATAATCCCAGGAAGTTGTCTTCTCCATGGAAAGGCATAGTGGATCGTCTCTCAGACGTGTCTTTCCAGATAAAATATGGTCGGCGAGGTAAGCCAAAAGTGGCGCATGCCAACAGGCTTTGGCGTTATCACGGTCCAGGACATTTCAGTTGGGACGAAGTGAACAAAGGAGCAAATGACGCTGCTGAAGACGTGTCACCTGAAAAAGCCACTGTTGAAGAAGAAACTCTACTCAGTTTTGAGAAGGGAAACAGTAAAGCTATTTGTGAAGTTACTACCACTGATGATAAGATATTTCCTGACGAAGCAGATGAACCCCACGTGAAGCAGAAGCCAACGAGATGGAGACCAGTACGAAGGAAGAAGATACGTCCCTTAAAATTAAGAGACTGTAATTTTGTGTTTGTAATTCTGTACATTTAATTAAGTTATTGTTAATTATTATTGGTTAATGTAAGTGGCTATTGTTCAGGACGAATAATACTAAGAAGGGGCAGTGTTGCGTCAGTGAGGTCATGTGACTAGTGTCACGCCACGTCCTTCTCGAACCTTCGTGAATTGTCGGGAGACTACTAGATTGGGCATAGCCTGGTATATATAAGATGATCACAACGTGACGGAACAAGGAGTAATTGAATGTATGCTGACAAAGAGAATATTGTTGAGCACGTGAGACGTTCGTGGTGAATTATAGCTTTTGTTATTGCGCGACTGTTGAAATTAAGTGTATCGGAAAGTTGTATTCAGAAAGAATAAACCTGTTTTATTTAAGAAAGGACTTGTGTCGCTAAAGTTTCGTCGGAACAAATTTACGAAAAATTAACTAAATTTGTTTTTGAATTTCGCGCAAAGCTACACGAAGGCTATCTGCGCTAGCCGTCCTTAATTTAGCAGTGTAAGACTAGAGGGAAGGCAGCTAGTCATCACCACCCACCGCCAACTCTTGGGCTACTCTTTTACCAACGAATAGTGGGATTGACCGTCACATTATAACGCCCCCACGGCTGAATGGGCGAGCGTGTTTGGTGTGACGGGGATTCGAACCCGCAGATTGCGAGTCGAGTGCCCTAACCACCTAACCATGCCGGGCCCTAACGAACTGAGACGTAACAACGTATTACTAGGGACACGTGACTTCCACTGTGGTAACAATATTTTTTCGGTTACATTTTTATAAATTATGAAAATATGAAATAAGATTTCGTGATAATTTTAAATTGTGTATGCGGACAGAAGAATAAGAAAGCACTGGAATTTTGGTGCAATTTTTAAGGTGATTGGAGTTGATTAAATGGCCCTTCTGGGCAAATTCTTGCTGGTTCGGCAACATTTTTATGAATTAGGAGAATAGGAAATACAATTTTATGTTGTGTATGCGTACCTGACAGAAGTACGAGAAGGCATTGAGTGTTGTGTTTCCAGATGATTAGTTGATCTGTCCGGGTAGTTTCGCGTTTGTCCGGATTTTACCAAGTCCTATGAAAATGCGGGATTTGTCAGTAACAGTAATAAATATAATATTAATAATCTTTCGTGTATTTAAGAACAATTATTTACTAAATAGCTCATAAAAACAGCTTTAAGAGACAAGATTATGGAAGACTTAACATTAGGCCTAACACCACATTCACCCAACGTTAGACTTAAGCTAGGTGAAGTTGCAAACCTATCTGATACAGATAGTGACAACATAGGTGGTGAGTAATTCTGTATAGCCTATCAATTATTATATTTATAGGTCTCATTTAAGAGTAATTTGTATTTCACTTTCATCTTTTCATTGTTAATTTTGTTTACGTACAGTTTAAGAATAAATTCAATAATGGAATAATACGAAGCATAAAATAATAATATTAAATTATTATATTTCAAAACGAGACGTTTTGAAAATATTACAACTTGGTGATCCTGTGTCAGTGTGTGCTAACTACTTAACCTGAATATTAACTTATAATTAATAGTAATAGTGTTATCATTGTGACTCTTTGTCCTAATCCTATTTCTAACAGTAACATAAATACTTATAATTTGTGTTATCCCATGACTAATTGCTTATCTTATTTTTATCTTTATTTGGTTAAATAAACAAATTTAGTGTTTTAAACTTTAGGTCACCTGAGGTCATCACTGTTACAGAAATTTAGCCAAAAATAATAGTTAAAAAATCAAAGTAAAAAAAAGGCTTCTTAATTGAATTGAGGTCTCTCCCAAAACAAAAATAAATTAAATGTAGTCCTTCATATCCATTTTATTTTTAATCTAAAGAACAGTTATTTATAACAATTCACATTAATTAACAACAAATTCCAAATTATTAACCAAAGTATATCACATGTATATTTCATTTCCAAAGAATAACTTACAAAAAGAGAACATTTGATTCATCAAGGCTGGCATCTTGAGAATATTTAGTTTCACAGTAAATAGTCAATTCCCCTCAAAAACTGTTGTAAAATACCACATTCCACAAGTGCTGAAAGCAACTCATTCTATATGTCAGTGACCTTTAATTTATCTAAGTTTTAGTAATTCCCATATATTGTAGTATTTCATTCCAACAAGAGCCATGAAGTAATCAATTTTGTTTTAATACTTCTAACAGCAGAATGATAGCTACACAAGAGCCATGAAGTAATCTATTTTGTTTTTAATACTCCTAACATTAGAATGATAGCTGCACAAGAGCCATGAAGTAATCAATTTTGTTTTTAATACTCCTAACATTAGAATGATAGCTACACAAGAGCTATGAAATAATCTATTTTGTTTTTAATACTTCTAACAGCAGAATGATAGCTACACAAGAGCCATGAAGTAATCTATTTTGTTTAAATACTCCTAACATAAAAAACAAAATTGAAATACTTCTAACATTAGAATGATAGCTGCTAAGCTTATTCTTGAATTTAGTACACATGTCTTTCAATCTGAAAAACTTGTCTTTAAAACTGTTCTTTAAATTTTTATTCTCAAAATCTCCTTTTTTTACATCCCCATTGTCTTAGCTATCTGATCAGTTTGTTAATTCAAGTCTCCCTAACCACTGTACACGTTTCAACTATCTATAAATCCACTTCAAACATTCTTCTACCAGCTTTCTTAAATGGAGTCCCTGCCTTATATTCATCCTTATCCTTTAACCAGCTCACTTATTATTCTAAGCATGTCTTTCATTTAAGCCAAGGATCATTTACAGTAGTTCAGAGACAAAATTATTGGTAGCAAATTGCTGGTTAGTATTGCAGTTTTCTAAGCAAAACTTGAAGGCATTAGAAAAAAATAATTACTAGCATACACTTCGGAAGGATTGGTAACAGATTCTTACTGTTGTGTGTCAATACACTTTCATACATGCATTTCAGTCATTTATGTTGCAAAATTCTGAATACTGAAGGTTGCAATGATTGTGGTCAAGAAGACTGTTTTACATGCAAGTGGCATGGTTGTTTTGCAATCCCCATTTGAACTGCATCACATACGTTGGCTAAATATCAGAAGAAAAAAAAGGGATCATGTGACTGCCACTTCAGCTTGTTTGATTGATTGCCAAGGTAGCTAACATGTAGACTGGCAAGCAAGACTCGCACCATTTGGCCTCTTCAGTGCAATTTTACCAATAGTATGGATAGAAACATTGCAGGTGATTGTTCATTCTATGTAATCTGTATAATAATACTGTCAGTTCTCTGTCATTGTGTCCTACTGTTGTTTAATATTACATTTAATGTGAATTATTTTTTTGTTTATAATAATTTATTTTGGTTTGTTTTACACGCATACTTAGGTAATTTCTATAATTTTGAAACACAACCAATACGGTGCTACTATAGCGTGAGGTCTACCACCATATGTTG